ACACTCTCAACAACCTTCGCCGTAAAGCGAAGGTTGGAGACTGGACGATAATTGGCCAGTTCATCTGGGTCCAGGGAAGGCTTCTTGAGGAGGGGCCTCACAACGGCCTCTTTAAGGGCCGCAGGAAGGGCACCCTCCTGCAAAGAAGCGTTAACAATTCCCTGGAGCCAGGCTCGTGTACCCTCCCGGGCTGCCAGTATTTATTTATTTGGTTTGTGTGCTGCCCATCTCATCTAGAGGCAACTTTGGACAGCTTACAAACATTAAAAACCAGCAAACATTAAAACAGTAAATAATAATAATAATGATAATTTACTATTTTAAAATGGGGGGAAGGAAGCATAAGGTACACAGAGAGAAGTGAGGTCTTATCTTAATCCGATAGCCATCTCCAGACTGGTGCACCCCTGTCGGGGGCCCAGGCCAACTGGTAGAGACAGGTCTTCAGGCCCTTATGGAAAATCAGGTAATTGGTGGGGTTCTCACCTGGGGAAGGTACAATGGTCTAAAGAGCAGAAGCCACAGTAGAAAAGGCTCTTCTCCTGGACTCTACCAGCCAAAATTCCTTCATCCATGGGGTCTGCATCATGCCCTTTCTGCTGACACAGATGAGGTGGTCAAATCCCATTCCTTCAGAATATTTGAATTTCAATCTCAGAATTCTGAATAAAATTAGAATTCCAAATTTCAATTAAAATTTGAAATCAGTATTCAAAATACCAAGTTTTGATTGCACGTATCAAAATGTTTAATATAAAAATTATATAATATAAAAATTACTGAAAATATATTGTAAGCCAACTGTCAGATACTATCAAATAGCTATTTTTCTATTTCTTAGGGCAAATCTGAAATTATTGCTTTCTGTGAATGTAAACATTCCTCCTAACAGATAGAAGCAGCAAAAGTAATAGCAGTCACTAATAAAATTTTAATTTTTTAATTCTTTCTTTTACATAGATTTGGTTCCAGAATCAACGAGCAAAATGGAGGAAACATGAACGATTTGGCAATTTAGCAGGCCTGCAGTATCAGACCAAAACTGATTTTATTTCAGCCCCAAAGCCAAAAGTAAGTGTGGGTTTCACTATTCATTTGTAATAGAAAAAGCAATTCCATGAAATAAAACATTTTCTTGATGTACTATTCAATAATACCAAATAAAGACACACCAAGTGCAAAAATGCAAAAACATAAAGTTAAACAGAAAGCACTAACCAATTTTTTAAAAATAGAAAAAGAAATCACAATAAGCAGGCAATTCATTTTTTTTATTTATTGGTTTTATGTACTTCCCATTTTGCTATCCAAAATGACTCTGGGTAGCTTACCTTGTAATAAAAATACAAATATATATAGTATTATAAATATAAAAACAAATAAATTTACAAGAGTTAAATAAAGAGGAAAAAGCAGCTTTCTCTGTCAATGCACCAACCACTTCCAACCTAAAGCATGTCAATCAAGGCCGCATATCAACTAACAATTATAGATTTTAAGAAGTATTCCATTTTAATCAATGAAGTAAAACTTGACTATGTTGAATCAAACATTTTAGTCATTTCATTGTTTGATAGGTAGCCAGTTCAAAAAATGAGGGTGCATATGTTTCTTCAAATCAGCCATTGACATCCAGGGGTAATACTGTACTCTCTTTTAAAGAAAAAACTATAATCCAAGTGGTTCTTTACAAATTGGTAGATTACAATTAAAATAATCCACTAGTGCCTTAAAATTTGATATTTATTCTCTTATTAAACCCTTAATTGTATTAAGAACATTAAACCAATATGCAGCCGCAAGTGGAGATGCTGAAATCATAAATGTTAATATGCCTTCAAATTTATTATTACACCAATATATGAGTAATACTATATGAAAATATAGATAGCCACATCTTTTGAACTTTCACATCTAGGAAAACCTGAAAAAGATTTCTTGATAAATTAGGTCCAAATTGAGAAGTTTACAAATATTCTGACTGAATTTTCTGAGATTTGAGGCATGTTGTATTATTTTGTAACCTCTCAAAAATTGTACCTATGTAACTGGCACTAAGATGTTCTAAAGCATTAAACTCTTTTCAGCTAGTTTTAACTCCACCCTCACCCCACCCCAAAGTTTATCTGCCATTTTTAAATAATATTATCCCAGAGAGTCAATTTCTCATGAGAACCAGGATTCAATTTAAGCCTGACTTCAACCCACCCAGATGCTATGGGCTGGCAGCTTCACCTTTGGTGCCTACTAGATTCTATGTACTCACCTTTAACTTTAATTTCAAAGCTTAATGATAATAAATTAATAGGAGGTTGACCTCCTGCAAAATAAATTGCTATTTTCTGGCACCAATCCTATTTCCAAGAATGCCCTTGTGTCCCACATAATCTAACAAGTATGCATAGACAAAAAACATGGGGATTGTTGTAGTCCAATGCTATGTTTGAAAATAAATCCAGTTGCCCAGACAAAAGATTACAATTCACATTTCACTGTCTCGTGATTTTATAACAAGTCATCCTGGTTATGGTAGCCATTTGAGGAAGAATTAATGCAGTAATTTTTAAAGGGTGACAGTACCATATATATTTAAAATTCCTAATTCCTAAAATTCCCAGTGCCCTATAACATTTGCCTATCCTTTAAAGCAGATACCTTGTACATTCTAACCTTTATTTTCTTGTGCCAATATAGCAGCAGTTAAATTTTAAGGACATATTCAATTTCCCTCACCTCCTTCCTAATTTTTTTTTTGGTGGGGGGGGGGGTCATTAATCTTTCCCTTTTCCAGTGTTTGACACAGTTGAGAATAGGTGTCCATCATCACAAACTATGGTTAACGCAAACTAGAAAGTGGAATCTGCCAGAAGTTAAGGATTTTACATTAGTAGCTTTGATACCTAATCTTCCCATTAAAAAAAATCACTTCATTTATTTTTTCTTACTTTATATCAGTTTCTATTGTTTTTTATCTTGCTTTAAAAAAAACTGTAATAAAAATTCTACTTATTATTGTTGGACATGTTGATAATATTTGATATAACTTCACCCTCTAATTCCTCTCTCATTCATTCTTTTTATCTTGTAACAGGACCCTTCCACGATGCCCAGCAACAGCCTTTTTGGTATTGCCCCTCTTTCAGGGTCCTATTATGCACTGATCCAAGAACATTCCATGCACACCTAGCTATCCGACCTGCTGTCTTGTCCATGGACTCTTTGGCATTTTCAAAATCATCTCTAATTATTGACTGTCTTCCTCCTTATATCCTTCACCTTCTGCTCCTGAAGCAAGCCAGAAGGTGTGCTACTATCAATTTCACCTAATAGAGGATGAATTGTAAACATCTTTGAAGCAATGTCTGGTTCTTCTAAACAGATGCCTTCACTGAACCAGTATTATGGTGTTATGGGATTCCAAATAATTCCCATGGCTACAAAACTTACAGGTTTAATACAATCTGGTTACTCTTTCTCAGCTTATCTTCATTGGAATGATTGTAAAGAAGTACCAACTGGTGCAATTTAGAAAATGGATGAAATATAAGTAGAATATTAAAAGAACTGTAGACAACAATTTTCCTTTAAATATAGAGCTAAAAAGTTTAATGTTGTCTTTGAACAATTTGTGTGAATCAGTGGTCCCCAACCTTTTTATATCCTGGTGTAAATGACACCAATCTTTCATCAAAGTTCAACAATTCAGTGTTAATTATACTTTGATTGAAACAATATACATTCTCAGATAACAAATAACTATAGTATTGCATCCTCTATGGAAGAGCTGGGACTTTAAGTGACCAACAATTGCAGAGTAGGAGTGATCAGTTTTTATTGGCCAATAGCATATTCTATTCTTCACTACAGGGAAAATGTTGCATTTTAATTGATCAGATTGGCCACTCCAAACTATTAAGCCATTCATTCTGCATCTTTTGACATTAGCTAAATTTTTGACAAGGCATATAAAATTTAAGATTAGGACTAGCAACACCAAATATAGCTTTTAATTATTTTTTTACCTTTAAAGAATGGGATCGAGGTGTTTGCTTTATTATTTTCCAAGTCTGAAATAATGAATTATAGATTAATGTATTAGATGGCAAGTGTGGGAGACAGACAGAATGAGAAACACAGAATTATATTGGATGAAATATTGGCTTGGTCTCTTAAGGGATTTCTTTAAATGATTAAAACATTTATGAGGGGAAACACTTTAGTTTTCTTTTAATGGTGAAGAAAAGAACACAGGAGCCACAAGTAGTGGGGATAGAAGCCATAATGAAGATAAAGTACTGGAAAAACTATTTGAATTTATCTAGAACTCAGCATTTATACATCAAACATGCCTGTGCACTTTTATAGAATTTAGGAAGCTGCCTAAATTCAGACCAATGGTGTTTGACATTCAGGACTGCACACAGAAGGAATGAAGAACATATGGGCTTTTAAATGAGTTCAAAGAATCCAGTTTTATCTCTAACAGCATAGCTGATTTGCACATCATATGCATATTATTTATTCATTCATTTGATTTGTGTAGCCATTTACCTTCTGCCTCCTCCAAATAGGGCCACAACTGGCACACCAGCTGAAATTACATAAATTCTCCATTAACCATGGTCTGCATTACAAGCAATTGTTATGGTCTAGGAATATCCCAAGTCATAGGTCTGCTTCTTCATATGGTGTGCTACTCCATCCAGAAGTATCATCAGGATACTTATGAACTAGATGGTTTCTGGATATACACCTGCACCCAACAGCTTCATATTGATGTTAAACAGCTGGGCAGGAAAAAAAAGAACTCTGTGGTGCCTCATATTGGAATGATCTACCAATAGATTCCCCCATTTCCCACTACAAATATCCGGAACTACAAACTTAGATAGAAGTATGTACATTAGATCTAAGTATAGATCTAATGTAAAACTGGACCTCTAGGACCTCCAAATTCTCCCTTCACTGAAGCCTAAGGGTACAAGATAAAATGTTATATCAATGCTACAGTTAACAGAGCAAAAAGGTGCACACTCCTTATATGCAATTCTTGCTGCATCAAACAATGGTTAAACCATCTGATTTTTATCCCATTCACACTCTTAAAAGCTGAATAAAAATGATACTGTAATTCACTTCTTCTATGGCACTTGCAACTGAAGACCCACCACTCTTTCTAAAATATACACTTATGGGAATTACTGGATCAGACCCAAGGAAAATCTCTTCAAGAAGAAATATATCACTGTTTCTTTCAAGGCAGACAATACTCCATTCTATTCCAAAGAGGTATTGATGAGATCTCTGATGCAGTCAGTTAACCCTCCATCTCTCAAAGGAGCCAGGAAAGGCAAAGCTCCAACTGAGAAGTGGCAAGCTTCCTAGTCTACAACCCTTCATATCACAAATATCACCCTAGGAAGCCGCCTTCATCCTCTGCCTTCACATTGAGGTTGGTGCAAACCTATGGTGGATAGATTTAGCTTTTTTT